ACCAACCAACCAACCAACCAAACAAACAAACAAAAAAACCCTTAAATTTAAAAAGGCTTGGCCTTGTCAGAAAAGCTGTGGGCCAGAAACTTTGCCTGGAATGACACCCAACTCAACAGCAGGTGCCCTGACCTCCAGGCCCCGCCATCTGACCCACATCCTAGAAGGTTCTGACTTTGGCCCCATCTAAAGAGCAAGCTCTTTCCAGGCCTCAATGCTGCCTTCATAATTATCATGGATTTAGGAGGCTCACCCTCACCAGGCACTGTTATGTGTGATGTCACTCAGTCTCTGGCAGACCCTAGGCCACTGCTCCTGTCGGTGACTCGGGGGGCCCCCCCCCCCCCTGAGGCTGGGGGAACCAGGCAACTTCTCAGCAGTTACAAAAGATAGCAAGTGGGAAAGTCAGAATTTGATCCAGCTAGCCTTTCTTTTTCCCCTTTTCTTTCTTTTTATAATGAAACAGGGTTTCACCATGCAGTTCGAGCCCCCCTAGAATGCCTACTCTATGGCCCAGCCTTAGCCTCTAAGCACTGGGCTCACAGCTGCATACAGCCACACCAGGTTTCTTAACCACTTCTGACTGGCCACACTGCTCCACCTCTCCCCTTCCTGCTGTGATCTCGCCACAGTGGACACCAGGTTGCTGCCAAGGCCCAGTGGACTCTTCCTGTCCTCAGCACCAGTTCCAAGAAGTTCAGAACCCAAAACAAACCACCCAGCCCTGGCGGGCTCCTCAAGCCAAGTCTAAATTAACCTTGGTCTCTTTGATAATTACTACTCAAAGTGGCATTTATGGCGGGCTCCCAGTGTATCATTTCCTGCTACCAAGTCCACCGCCCCCACATACATCAAAGCTACCAGCTGCCCACTCTGCTGCCCACAGCCTGGCAGTAGTGTCTGTCTGTTCCAGGACCGCAGGTTAGCTTCTATAGAACATGGCCAGTGGGCAACCTCACTTCACAGGCTCCACCCAAGCAAAACACAATTCAGCTCAGAAATGGGACTAGCCTGTGTCCATCTCCCCAGCAACCTTTCACCTTTCCTAACCATCAAAGCCAATGCGCTCCTCCAAGTGCCCGTCCAGTTCCTCCTCCCCACCAACCTTCTCCAGCAGGCCTAGCTCTTAGGTCTTTCCCCAACATATAAGCCACCTTCTGCTGATCAGAAACACCTGAGTAGGTAACATCCCCGAGTCATTCCCCAGGAAGACCCTGGTAAGAGCGAGCTCCACGTTCTGCTGCTGAATCTTACTGAGGAATGCCTCACACACAGGCAAACTGACCACCTCGCCCTCTGCTTTTCTGTCTGCTGCCTCCGATTCTCTTTTCCCAGTCGGAGGGTTTACCAAGTCTGTACACAGTCTGGGTTTATTTCCCGTCCTCGTTCCAGCCAGAAGAGCAATGGCCATAGCCGGCTACCTTTTGCCTCCTGGTTCACAGACCAGCTGCTCCGCTCTCCACCACTCTGTGGACTCAGACACTTATCTTTTCCCCAATACTATGGACAGGCTCTCTTCTTCTATCCATGGGTGTACCATGAACTCAAAGGCTGGCTGCCAGCCTCCCAAATTCCCAAACAAGGTTAGGGTTTGAAAAACCAATCCTGTGCACCTTTCCAAGTCTCCCGCCAACCCCTCTCTGCCTCCAGCTCTAACCTAGGCATCGCTGAAATCACCAGTAAGTGCCATTTACCGCGAGCCACCTCCGTAGGGGTCGGCTCTGTGGCGGTCCCACCCGCCCCTGGGCTCTCCCTCGCAACCTTCGCCATAGCTACCGTGTCTCCAGGGGTCTTTGGGCTCCACCGCTCCGGACACGATGTCCTCGTCCGACGGGAACGTGACATGCTTGGCCGCAGCCTTAAGGCGCCCATCGGCTGGGGGCGAGGCCCCGCTAGGAGACCCAGCTTCGGCGGGGGCCTCCTCGGCCTCGGCCTCGGCGTCCGCGCCCGGCCCGGGCGGAGCCTCCTGCGGCGGGATCTCCATCGCCGCCGCCGCCGCCTCCTCCTCCTCACGGGGGCCCCGGGGACATGCCCCGGGCCCCGGACTCGTCTCTCCGGGTCCTCCCGCCGTTCCGGGGCATGGGCTTCGCCGCTGCCTCAAGCGCCGCCTCCGTCCGCTCCGTTCGTCGTGGTCGTCGTCGTCGTCGCCGGGAGCCCCAACGCGCCTCCGCCGACCTCCGCGAGCATCTGCTCTTCCGCAGCCACACTTTCGCTACAAGCCGAGGCGTCCGCTGCGTACTGAGAAAAGCATAACACCGACTCAAGCTTTTGTCCTGGGGGGGAAAAAAACCGTTTCGAGGGCGACACGAAGATGGGGACAAAGAGCAGGAGGCTTCACGAGAAAGAGAAACGTGAGCGGCGAATCTGCAGAGCCAGAACTGCAGAACACAGAGGCGGGGCCTATGAACGCTATCTCCCGGAGCGCTGCGCATGCGCGAGCTTCAGCCGCCTCCGCCCTCAGCCCAGTTGTCAACACAGTTCCCGCACATTCATCACAAGCTCAAATAATTCCGGAGAGAATTCAATAGAAATCCTATCGCCGCGGCCTGCAAAAGGGCTGTCAGCGGTTAAAGCCGTCTGAGTTCGATACCAGAGACTCACGTCAAAAATGGAAGAATCGCCTCCACAAAATTGTCTTCTGATTTCTACACACGCGCCCACAAGAAATAATGAATAACTTAAAATATAAAATAAGGATCAGAGGCATTAAAAAAAAAAAAACCTGCTAGACATGGTAGCGACATGCCTGTGATCCTAGCCTTGAAGAGGCTGAAGGAGAAGGTTGCGAATTTGAGGCCGACCAGGCTGGATTACATAGGAAGCCTCAGACCAGCAGGTGCTACGGAGTGAGACTCTGGCGGGGCTAAGCCAAGGACTGGGAACAGAGTAAAGTGATGGAGGCGTTGAAAAGCCATGAGAGCTGAGCTGAATATAGGATGAGTACGTACAAGTGACAGAACCGACAGAAGAGCAGACTTTAGCTTCATTGTCTCGTCAAAATTATATTCAATGTAAACTACAATATGAGATGAGTCTGCCGGGTGTTCATGAACCTGATTTAAAAACAAAAACTGGGAGCAGGAATTCCAAAGGCTCGAGATGACCAAAGGCTGACCAAACCTGAGCGAGCCTAGGCCACACCTACAAGGGGTCATTCCATAGCTCAGGATTTATCTCGGCCCCTTCGCTTGCTTTCCCTTCTCAGCTCATTAAGGACCGACCCATTGGCGCAAGAGACTGAAGTTATAGAACGGGACTTGAGGAGGGTCGAGCACAACGTGCCAACTAGAGAGCTAGGCTGAGACTGGAGGTAGGCGGCGGTGTGAACTGACAGTAGCTGAGGCTACTGCTAAGGATAACTGCTTCCACTCTGGAGACAAGTACCAAAAGCCCCCTATAATTAATGCAAAGCCTCACTTACATTCTGAACTTCAACTAAAAGGCATTAACTGGTTTTTGTTTGTTTGGTTGGTTTTTATTTGTTTTGTTTTTACTGGTTCTCATGTAACCCAGGCTACCCTCTGACTTACTATGTAGGCAAGACTGGCTTTATCTCTGCCTCCCCCTGCCTCTACACCCCATTCCCCACCCCAAGGGCTGGGATTACAGGCTTGGGGCATGGTGCTCAGCTTGGAACTGCTTTTGGATACCATCTACTGAAAGATTTCTTGTGACAAGGGGCTGAACCAGGTGACACAGACTGCCTTGCTAGGAGGCTGGAGCAAACTGAAGAAGGTGAAACGTCAACGCTAGCAACCAATCTGCAGCATTTGCTCCCTGGCACTGTCACACAACTGTGACCACCACCACCACTCCCTGTCTCCTATGTGGGAAAACCTGCAGGTGACTGCAGTGGACCACAGCACCCAGAGGGAACCTTGTGACCTGGTGTAAACCAAAGCCCTTGCTAGTAAAAGGCCATCGTTGCCCACCTCAAAACAGACTTAAGGGTCAATTTCTTGTCCAGAGAATAAAGTCAGCCATTTTGGGAGGACACCAGGAACAGTGCAAGCCCCATACTGATATCTGGACTCCTTATCATCATGGCTTAGCCCCACAGAGATAACTACACTACTAACATATTTTTTGTTTGTTTTTGGTTTTGTTTTTCGAGACAGGGTTTCTCTGTGCAGCCCTGGCTGTCCTGGAACTCACTCTGTAGACCAGGCTGGCCTCAAACTCAGAAATTTACCTGCCTCTGCCTCCCAAGTGCTGGGATTAAAGGCATGCGCCACTATCGCCCGGCCACTATTAACTTTTAAATACTACTCAGAGGGTGGGAAGGCAGCTTACAGTTAAGAGCACTCGCTACTGTCCCAGAGGGCTTGAGCTCTGCTCTTGGCACCCACATCTCACAGCACCTATAACCAGAGCTCCTGCCGACGGCATATCTTCTTCTGGTCTCCATGAGCACCCACACTCACATGGCACACAGACCTAACACCTACATTTTAAAATTTTTAAACAAAAAAAAATTTGAAACATGGCACCATTTTCCATGGGATACAACTAAAAAGATAAGCAGAAAGGCCAAGTATGGTGGCCTGACCTATAATTCAGCACTTGGGAGGCTGAGGCAGGAGGACTGTGAATTCCAAGCCAGCCTGGGCTACACAGCCAGGTCCTGTCTTTTAAAAAAGGTTGGGATGGGTGAAAAGATGGCTCAGTCATTCGTTAAGTGAACTGGCTGCTCTGGCATTGGACCCACAAATCATTCCCAGTGCCCACACTCTGGCTCACAACTATCTACTAGTGTCATTGGATTTGGTGCCCTCTTCTGGCCTCAGCCATCACTGCATGCATGGGATATAGACATCCATGTAAGCAAACCACCCACATACATACAGTAATAAAAATTTAAAAGGAAAGCCAGAGCCAGATTTCTCCAGATGACGATTTCTTTGGCAGGAGGGGAGATGGAGAAACAGCCTGAGAGACTCAGTGTTGCAAGCTCCTCAGTGCTCTTTGCGCACGCAGACACACATGCATACACACACCCCTCAGCCTGCAAGGACTAGCCTCAGGAATTTATTTCTGTAAAGTTGAGTTGTGTGAGGCAGAACATTCCTTTCAACAAGAGAGATCTAGAATCCCTGTGGTTGCAGTCTCCCCTGTGGCACAGCCTGGCCTTGAATTTATGATCTTCCCACTTCAGCATCTTAAGAGCCAGGGTTATCGCATCCAGCACTAGATGGTATCTGGTTTGGAGTTCCTCTGAGTTCAAAGCTAAGGTTTGTTGGAGTTTGCTTTGAAAGTCCAGGAAGGTGCTGAGAACTCTATGGCCCAGGAATAGCCAGAGGCCTGGGCTACTGTGGCAGTGCCCACAAGGAAAACAGCAGACGGTCTTTACAGCCTGAAGGAATAGGAAATGATATCACTACATCGAAGCAGAGCCTCGGCCTGCACGCCTATGGGAGTCTGCAGCTGAGAAACGTAGAAGTTGGCTACATCTAGGTCTGTGGCTCCAAACTGGGCAGTCACCTGCACACCTTCATGCAGCGTGAAGCTCACAGGGTGCCCCACCATGGCTAGGAGGCTGCGGAGGTAGCGCTCCCGAAGAGCGGCGCGGGCCCGCTGGTCCTGTGACTCTGGGGGATACTCAATACAACTTTCTCCGACTTCTCGTCTCAGGATGGTCCTACGTCCATCAGGGGCAAAGCCTCGGCTGAAGCCATCGGGGCCCCGAGGGAGGCGCAGCACTGGCACTGGCACGGGAATGGTCAGTGGGCTCTGCATGGCCCAGGCTCTGGAAAGAAGATGAAAGAGTTAAAGCCACACAGCTCCAGGAGGAAAGAAGCTCGCTCTTCGCTTTCACCTCTAGACTATAGCTACACTGTCTAGAACCTGCGCCAATCCCCCCAGCTCCACCCCAGGTAGGGAATTTTGTCTGTCTGTTGTTACACGGTTTTGGAGACAGGGTCTTGCTATATAGCTCAGACTGACCCCAAAGATACAGGCACCTGACTCCTAAATGCTCTACAGGTATGCAATACCACATGGGGCTCTTTTGCCTTTGTTGTTTTGTGAGAGAGGGTCCCTAGCCCAGATGAACCGTGCTCTGTGTAGTCAAGAACCTTGAATTTCTGACCCTCCTACCAGGTGCCAGGATTGCAGGTTTGCTCTACCACCTTCTGTTTATGGAGTGCTGGAGATGGAAGCCAAGGGCTTCTGAATGGTAGGCAAATTCTATACTAACTGCACCCCTAGCCCCCTTTTTGTCTACTTTGATCATAGCTTTATTATGGTTCCAGGGTAACTGTCAGAAGAATATTCCCAGCCCCTCTCAAATATAGCCTATTCTCCCTCAGTCAGCCAGAGTCCTGACAGCTAGATCCAGAATGATCCAGTGAGTGGTACACACTGCAACTACTGAGTGAAAACAGTCTATGCTTAAGGAGACCTGTCAGGAGAGTTTAGAAGTTTGCAGTATCTTGGGCCTTTTGTTTTCAAATGCATTTATTTGTGTGTGTGTGTGTGTGTGTGTGTGTAAGGTCAGAGGACAGCTTGCAGGAGCCAATGCTCTCCTCCCACTATATTACCAGGGCTAGGAGCACATGAGGCTGTCAGCTTGGTGGTGAGAGCCTTGAGACTTTACTCACAGAGCTTGCCCCCAACCCTTTTTTGGTGGGGGAGGGGATTGAGAAGAGCATGGGATATCACTATGTAGCCTACACTGTTGTGGAAGCTACCATCCTGCCTGCCTTAGCCTTCCTAAGTCCTTTGATCTCAGGCCATCTGCATGGTTTTAAGGTCCCTCCTAATGGTCAAGTGTGGTGACACAGTCTCATAATCCCAGCACTAGGGATGCCAAGGCAGGAGGACTGACTTCAAGGCCAACCAGTCCTAGATATGGCATCAGCATCCCAAAGCCACTAGAGTCACCATCCCTATTCTGTCTTTTGTCCAATACCTTGACTGTCTCAGTGACCTCCCCACTGGGCTCCTACGGTGTATTTTTTTTTTCTCCCTACCTCTTCCCTTTCTCTGAAACAGAGTCTCACTGTGTAGCCCTGGAACTCACTATTTAGATGCGGCTGACCTCAATACGCCTGCCATTGCCTCCCTAGAGATGGGATTCAAGGTGTAGACTATCAAGCTTGGCTCATTAGTGCACGTGTGAGCTGCTGTGCCCATTCTTGGGCATAAAAGCCAGAGAACATGATGTCTCCTACTCCAGCCCAGTGTTCTCCCCACAGGCTGTAAACTGATCCTGCTACATCTAAATCCTGGGTCAGTGAGACCTCAGTAGGTCTCAGACCTTCCTGCCAACCCTGGCCACCTGACTTCAATCCACAGAGTCCAAGGAGAGAACAGAGGCCAAAACTTGTCCTCTGACCTGCAGGCGCACAGTGCTGTGCACCCACACATGCACATGCACACGCACCCACACATATGCATGCACACGTACACAGGTTAAAAGAAAACAAACAAAAGTTTTACAACTAAATCTCAGAGTGATCTCTGTTTAGGACTGTTCCCTGGGGTCCTCACAGTGGACATTATATGACCTTGTCAGCCTCTGACCTCATCTATTCTCCCCTCTACCTTTGGACTAGCTTGTATTCCTGAGGTAGAGCAAATACAGCCCTGCCCCAGGACCTTTGCACGCACTGCCTTTCCCTGGAGACATGGGGCTGCCAAGCTCACTTTCTTCCCTCATCTCACCGGTCCATCCATTTCTTTTTTTTTTTTTTTTTTTTTAAAGATTTATTTGTTTATTATATATGAATACATTGTAGCTGTCTTCAGACAGACCAGAAGAGGGCATCAGATCTCATTACAGATGGTTGTGAGCCACCATGTGGTTGCTGGGATTTGAACTCAGGACCTCTGGAAGTGCAGTCAGTGCTCTTAACCACTGAGCCATCTCTCCAGCCCCGGTCCATCCATTTCTTTTCCCATTTTCAAACCACTATTTCTGAGAAGGGGTCTCAGATAGCCCACACTGTCCACAAGCTCACTGTGCAGCCCAGGATAGTCCTTCTGCTATCTCCCCAGTACTAGGATGTCAGGCTATTTTATATAGTACTGGAAATCAAATACAAGATCCCATACATGCCAGGCCAGCACTTGACCACAGCCAGATGTGGTACTACATGATTTTAACTCTAGCATTCTAGATGCAGTGACAGGCAGATTTTTGAGTTTGAGGCCAGCCTGGTCTACAGAGTGAATTCCTGTCTTGAAAAACAAACAAACACAAATGGTACTGGAGAGGTGACTCAGAGGTTAAGAGCACTGGCTGCTCTTCCAGAGATCCTGAGTTCAATTCCCAGCAACCACATGGTGGCTCACAACCATCTATGAGATCTAGTGCCCTCTTCTGCCCTGCAGGCATACATGCAGGCAGAACACTATACACATAATAATAAATAAATCTTTTTTAAAAAGAAAAATAAAAACAAACAAACAATGCAGAGGGAATTCTATACTGCTCACTCTATACTGCCCCACACCCCCATGAGGTCTTGTCACATTGCTTGGGTTGGGGGCTGGTCTTGAACTCCTGGGTTCAGGTGATCCTTCTGCTTCAGGCTTCGATCCTACGCTGATACCTTATCCCATCTGTGCTTTACAGCAATGTGTGCTCCTAATGGGATGCTTCTGGGATGCTTCCTAGCCCAGGAAGAACAAGGTTCCGTCCAAGAAATGCAGGCTTTCTTTCAACAGCATGCAGACACCAGTACCTCTACTGTAGACAAGGTTGGCCTGGGACTTGTGGTTCTGTACCTGAGGCTTAATGCTGGGACTGTGTGCATGACTAACTTCGGTTTCTATTGGCCTCTTGGTACAATCAAAGAGTCAGCAGTGAGGGGGCTAGAGATGTGTCTCAGTCTTTAAGGGAACTTGGAAAAGCAGGTTTGATTCCCAGCGCCTACATGATGGCCTACAACCATCTGTAATTCTAGCTTCAGGGGGTTCAATGCCCTCTTCTGGATTCCTTGAGCACCAGGCATTCACATGGTGCACAGACATACATGCATGCAAAACATCCATTCACATTTAAAATATTGCAAAAGAAAAGTAAAAGTTCAGCAATGGGGCTGGAATGCAGCTCCCCTACATCTGGTAGATGCTTTCCTAGCAAGTAGGAGGCCCTGGGTTTGAACACCAGCACTTGATAAAACTGGGTGTGAGGGGATACACCTATAAGCACAGGCAGGAGGAGCAGAAGCTAAGGTCATCCTTCACCACATAGATAGCTTGAGGCCAGCCTGAGCTACATGAGGGGAAAGGAGATGACTAATTCCTGAAAGCTGTCTTCCTTAATATCACACAAATAAATGAATGTAATCAAAATTCGAGGCCCAGGACTGCCTGTTCTGCAGAGCAGCCAGGGCTACACAACCAACCCTGGGGGAGGGGAGACGAGGAGAGCAGCATGGGATTTGAGTATGTGCTTTGAGATGGGTGTGATTAGAGTGCGTTGCCTTGAAGCCTAGGCTAGCTTCTACCTGGTTATCCTCCTGCCTCAGTGGAATGCTAGGACTCCAGGAAAGCTCTGCAATTCCATGGAAGTACCACCTCACCACGTTTTGTATCTATTCTTTAAAGATTCGGGCATCCCAAGCACAGGCGCCTGCGCAGCAGACCTGCTGGTTGATCTAAGACCACAGCCCAGCAGCGCACACAGGAGCAACTATTCAGACAGGGCTGGAGAGAAAGAGGCCAGAGGAGAGTCAACGTCTTGGAGGAGGGAGGAGTGACATAGGACAGTGGTTTCCAGAAGGGCTTGGGAACAGTGCCAGGCCAGTCACACCACAGTGCAGTCCTGGGTGGAATAAGAAACTGAGCCATGACAGAAAACACACCTACAGGAGCAGCATAGGAGGTTTAGGCAGGAAGCCTGGAGCTTGAGGCCAGCCTGGGTATACTTTGAGGTAAGAGGCTGGAGTGAGGAGGCTGAGCAGCAAGCACGGAGCCTCGTCACCAAGGACTGGCATTGTGTCCACTCTCAGAGACGTCCACATACTGCTCTGAGCAAGGAGGAACATGGGCTAGTCCTTCACAGAAACCCCATGCTTACTGTCCAGAGCATAGGCTTGTGGGAATGAGGGAGGGACAGGGAGTCCAAGACTGAGGCCCCTGTGTCCCCCGGTTATGCTGGCCCCTGTGAGAGGAACTGTTAGATTAGTGTTGTGTGGGGCATGCAAAGCACTCAGCAAGCTGTGCAGGTCGAATAAGAAGTCTCCAAGGCCCTGCGATAGACAGAGAAGACTAAGCCTATGGGGACTAAAGGCTGTATGTGTGTGTGTGTCAGTGTAGCGTAGAGACAATCCAGAGCCTCTAGCAGGCTAGGTAAGTCTATGACAGAACCACACCCTTAGGCTCTCACAGGTGGATTCTAAGCATGCACTCTACACCCTGAAGCCTTATTTATTTATGAGACAGTGTCTCATGTGACTCCAGGTGGCCTAAAATGTTTGATCCTCCACTGTCGATGGTAGCACACACACCTTTAACTTCAGCATTGGGGAGGCAGAGGCAGGTGGATCTCTGTGAGTTTGAGGCCAGTCTGGTCTTACAGAGGGAGTTCCAGGATATCCAGAGCTATAGATAGAACCCCTGTTTCAAAAAAAAGGAAGGAAGGAAGGAAGGAAGGAAGGAAGGGAGGAAGGAAGGAAGGAAGGAAGGAAGGAAACAAGGAAACCAAGTCTGCCCTCCTGCCCCCATCTCCCCTGTCCTAGGATTACAGGTCTGTGATGCCATGGCCCTGTTTATCTGGTGCTGGGATTAAACAACTACACCAGTAACTGAGCTACACTTCAGCTTCCCAGACTGCTTTCATTTTCAAGTCAGGATCTCACTAAGTGCCAAGGATGGCTTTAAACTCATCCTGTAGCTGAACACACACAGGGGTCAGAGGACAACGTAAAGGAAGGAGTCTGTTCTCTCCTTCCACCAACTGGGTTCCCAGGATAAAACTCAAGACATCTCCTCAGTCCATGTGGCAGACTTTTGATCCTCCAGACTGAGGACCTGGAACTTTGAGACAGTATCACCCAACCCAGCTACCTGCATTTAAAAAATACATCTGCCCACTGTGACGCCAACTCAGTCATGGGCCATGTGCCCAAGTCTGTCTTCCAATTCAGGTTAATACTTGAGCATCTTAAGAAATGCATCTTAGGCCGGGTGGTAGTGGCACATGCCTTTAATCCCAGCACTTGGGAGGCAGAGGCAGACGGATTTCTGAGTCCAAGGCCAGCCTGGTCTACAGAGTGAGTTCCAGGACTGCCAGGGCTATACAGAGAAACTCTGTCTCAAAAAATAAAAAAAAAGAAAAAAGAAATGCATCTTAGGCTGGAGGGATGGCTCAGGGGTTAAGAACACTGGCTGTTATTCTTTCAGAGGTCCTGAGTTCAATTCCCAGCAACCACATGGTGGCTCAGAACCATCTATAATGAGATCTGGTGCCCTCTTCTGTATGGCAGGTATATATAAAGGAAGAATGCATGTTATACATAACAAAATAAATCAGAAAGAAAGAAAGAAAGAAAGAAAGAAAGAAAGAAAGAAAGAAAGAAAGAGAAGCACCCTAATAGCAAGGGCTATTACTTAAGGAAGGGCAGATGGAATAAGCCAGTAGTCAAAGAACTTTCTTAGATCCCCAGACAGACTTAGATGGAGGACCAGTGAGGAGCCTTGTTTGCTTCAATAAAAAAAAATATATATATATATAAAAATATAATAGGCTGTGGTGGTACACACCTAAAATCCTGGCAGTCTATAGAGGTTGAGTGTCAAGAATTTCAAATTTGGAGCTGGAGAGATGGCTCAGCGGTTAAGAGCCCTGACTGCTCTTCCAGAGGTCCTGAGTTCAAGTCCCAGCAACCACATGGTGGCTCACAACCGTCTTTAATGGGATCTGATGCCCTCTTCTGGTGTGTCTGAAGAGAGCAATGGTGAATACATAAAATAAGTAAATAAATCTTAAAAAAAAAAAAGAAGTTTAAAAAAAAGAATTTCAAATTTTAGGCTATCCTGAGCCATATAATAAGACTCTAATTTAAAAAGATTTGATCATATCCAGAACCCCTATTTGCTGGAATGGACCTGAGGCTAGATATCACTTTGCTGGTCCAGGCAAATGTCAGGAAAAGGTAGCTAACTGTGGCCACTGGAGCAGGTGTTTTCCAACACAACTGGACCTTGAATGTTCTGGAGAAGGTGGGAAGATTTAAGAAAATGAAAACTGATTTATGCTGGGCGTGGTGATACATGCATTTAATCCCAGTGATTGGAGGATGATTTGGTGGGATATTTTGAGTTCAAAGCCAGCCTGGTTTACAGACTGAGTTAGTTCTAGGACAGCCAGGGCTACAGAAAAGCCCTGTTGAAAGAAAAAAAAAAAAAAAAAAAAAACGAACAACAAATATTTGAGAAAAGTCAGGAAGAATTGTCCTAGTATCCTAGATAGCAAGGACTGCTAAAATTACTTTCCTCTGGTTATCCTGACCTCAGTCTCTGATCTAGAGACCATGGATTTCCTGCCCAGAGGTTAGTCCAAACCCATACATCCCAATCTCTGGCTAAGTAATCAGTTAGCCTGACTCAGGTAAGGACACCTTTGGTCAGGGAATAGGTAGCTGTTCACAGGGCCATCCTTAGTGCCTCGGGGAGAGTGGATTGAGGCATGGGGAAATGGAGACAGCACAAAAAAATCAGTCCAGGGCCAGTCTTTGAAGGAACGCTAGCCAGATCTAGTGTGGAGAGAGTGGCTCTGGCAAGCCTTGTACTTCTTCCCTCTTCCTAGATGAAAAGTGTTCGATTACATTCCTAAAGCTTTGGATACTTCCTCCTCCTGAGGCTGGATACCAAGGTAGAGCCATCAAAGTATTGAAGTCGAGCAATCAAAAGTCCCCTTTGGCTTTTCTAATTAACATGCCTATTTCAAATTAAACACCTCATCCTAACACAGGGTTTCTCCGGGCGTCTTTATAAACTGCCATTTGTCCACGGGCCATGTTGGTCTATTTATCCAGAGGCAGTCCTTTGTTCCTCTGGGACACATATCTCTCCTCCCTCTCCCTTGTTCAACTTCCTATCTCCTTCATTCTCAATCTCCAGTCTTTGTCTCTTATGCTCTCTGTCCTTCTGGGGCAAATAAATCTCCTGTGTGCTGACAACTTGGTCCTGGAGGTTCTGAGCAGATATTTTTCCTTTCAAGCAGATATTTTTCCTTTCAGTCTTAGCTACACAGAGAGTTCTACAGCAGCCTGAATTACACAGGGAGAGGTGTGGAGGTGAGAGTCGTGGGAGAGGTTGATGATGGAGCTCAACTGGAAGAGTCCTTGCACAGGAAGCATGAACCGGCTTCCTTCACCAGTACAGATTACAGTACAGGCCTGTAATCTCAGCCCTTAGCAGGTGAAGGTGGGACATAAAATTCCAAGTTACCCAGGGCCAAGAGGTGAGTTCAAGGCCAGCCTGGGGCTACTGTTCTGCTTCTTAGTCTCAGGGGAAAACAAAACAAAATCCAAACAAGAAGAAAAAAGTTAAAGCCAGGCAGTGGTGGCTCACGCCTTTAATCCCCAGCACTTGGGAGGCAGAGGCAGGCAGATTTCTGAGTTCGAGGCCAGCCTGGTCTACAGAGTGAGTTCCAGGACTGCCAGGGCTACACAGAGAAACCCTGTCTCAGAAAAAAAAAAAAAAAAAAAAAAAGAAGAAGAAGAAAGTTAAAGAGGAATGGGTCAGTTAGGAGGACATTAGGTCTACCAGGATACGAAACGGGCCGGGCTTCCAGGCTAGCAGACAAGACCTATTTCTCCATACACACAGTAAGGTAACTGCTGTCCTCGGACCTCCTATGCAAATTCGCTAAATAGGGCCACACCTGAGAGTAAGCAGCCCGAGGGCAGGATCTGTCCCCTTCCCGGATCCCAAGGGCGGGTCAGTTTCCTTGTAATTCCTCCGAGCCTCCGAAGAGTCCTCCTTTTCAAATTCTAAGAATGTCCATCCGCTTCAGGGCAGCCACCTCTCACCCCGCCCGCCCCGCCCGGTGTCAGAGCACTGTCCCTCTCCGGGTCATCTCTTCCCCGCAGCTCCAATCCCACCCAGTGCGGCTGACCCGGAGGACAGCCCACGTCCAAGGCGTACTCACCGAGGCCTGTCCCTGCAGGCGCTGTTCCTATGCCCGTGCCGCCGCCACCCTGGTCCCGGCAGGCGCTGAGCCCCGACTGTCTAGGTTCCGCCCGCGCAACCTCCGCAGAGGTCCGGGTGGGCATCGAGTCCCGAGCGCCTGGGTTCCGCCCGCACCTCCACTTTCCCCACAAGTTCATCGGCTGCTCCAGGGTCACCTGACTGGGGCTGGGCTCTGCCAACCTGTGGGTTAGGGATGTTTAGGATGCCCACAAAACAGAGGTTCAGAAAGTTGGGCATGGTGGCTCCCAGGCTTGGAATCCCAAGTACCCACGGAGGTGAGGCAGGAGGATTGTCAAAGTTCGAGCGAGGCCTGACTACCTGGGCTACAGATAAGGCCTCATCTGAAAAGGGAGGGAGGTGTAGGAAAGAAGAAACGAGTAGTGATTTACACCTGTAATCTCAGCACTTGTCAGTCGGAGGCAGGAAGACAGGATCAGTTAGAGAAAGAGAGAGGGAAGGAGGCAGAAATAAGGGGAGGGGGAGGAGAAAGCAGCAGTAGCTGCTGATCAGAGAATAGAGATTTCCTATCAGCCTGGGAGATACCCTTGTATTCACCCCTCCTTCCCAGGAGGAAGCTGACCTCTCCCCATCTCCTCCTCTAGGTACCCGGAAAGGGGCTTACAGAGTGCTGCCGCTAGGGTGGACAGAGTCCATTCATTTTGTCCTTCAGCCCTCTCTGCAACCCACGTTTACAAAGGGAAAAACTGAGGCCCTGCGAAACCCCACTGATCTCAGCCCAGGTAGAATCGATTGCATTCCCACAGAGTTCACTTAGGCAGGAAGAGGACTGCGTATCCCCTTACTGCCTGGCACGCAGGTGCTCTGCAAATATCCGTGGAAAAGAGTGCTCCTTTCCAATATAGGTACTGATTGAATCGTGAAAGTATGGGCGCTGGGGTGCCTGCTTATCCTAGCTACCAGGGAGGCAAGGCTGAGGATTTTCTAACCAGACTTAGAGAGTCCCATCTCACTGAAAGAGTAGAGGCTCTCTTTAGGATGGGACACCCCGTGCTGGGCAGTAGTGGCACACGCCTTTAATCCCAGCCCTTGGGAGGCAAGTCTGAGGATTTTCTAACCAGACTTAGAGAGTCCCATCTCACTGAAAGAGTAGAGGCTCTCTTTAGGATGGGACACCCCGTGCTGGGCAGTAGTGGCACACGCCTTTAATCCCAGCCCTTGGGAGGCAGAGGCAGGTAGATTTCTGAGTTCAAGGCCAGCCTGATCTACAGAGTGAGTTCTAGGACAGCCAGGGCTACACAGAGAAACCCTGTCTCGAAAAGCAAACAAACAAACAAACAAACAATAAATAAATAAATAAATAGGAATGAGACACCCCAATGATGCTCTCTTAAAAACCTACATTCTCTTTCTAGTTGGGAGAACAAAATAACCTACAAGTTAGCAAAAAGATAATCCAAGACCTTCAGAGGGACTGGGGACATGACTCGTTGGGTTGCCTAGCATAACAAGACCCTAATTCCATCCTTAGCACAAGAAAAATGGCTAAAATTATGCCTGATACTTGGTGAAGTTGGAGCAAGAGGCTCTCAGATTGAAGGCTAGCCTATGCTATAAGGCATGGCTAGCCTGTGCTACAAGGTATAGCCTTGTCACCAAAGACAAAGGGTAAAGGATGGGGCTGGACATATAGCTCAGTACTAGAACATTTGGCTGAGATGTGCAAGGCTCTGTGTTCTGGTCCTCCGAACCCCCAAAGGAGGAGACAGTAGGGGCAATGGGTATGGTGATAGCAAGAGAGCCTTAAAATTCAGTGATTAAATCAGGTGTGTGCAGAGGGAGGACAACTGGTGTACACTTGAGGTCAGCCTAGGAGACAGAAATGAAGAAAGGAAAGGAGGAAACATACGCCAGGCAAGATGGCGCACACCTTTAATCCCAGGACTCAGGAGGCAGAGGCAGATAGATCTCTTATGAGCTCCATGCCAGCCTGGTCTTCCTTGTCCCAGGACAGCCATGGCTACATAGAGAGACCCTGTCTCAAACAAACAAACAAAAAACCCTAGCCCCTACACACATACAGAGAGAGAGAGAGAGAAATATATA